TTTTTGTACTTTCGTTTTACACAACCGTATGAACTTCGAACACAATAGTAACAATTAAAAGTCCACCTAAATTAAGTATGTTTATAGATTAAACAATACATTATCTTCATACTTTTATTACATCATTATTATTGTTGTAGAATCCGAAACTTTCGACATTTATTCGGGCTTGCTTATGGTTGTACATCAATGGGCATTTTTAAATTGATATTAATTGCCAGACATATTTTCAATCATAGTTATACCGAAATAAACTTTATTTTCCTTAGGATTTCAAATATATACATTCGTTATACATTATGATTACACCCAGTTACTTTTTGTTTACATACAAACCTACTTTCAAACTTTATTAAGCCCAAGGTTATTATTAATAATAGCTGAAGTGTTCCGATCCTGTTTTTGTAAGCTATATTTTAAATCTATAAAAATGTTTTGTGTGTAGAACACATTTACTATTATATTGGTTATAGACAAATTACTTTTTTTTAAAGGTGCATGCCCTCTAATAGTAAAATGAAAAAGGAAATGATATAAATATTATGTAAACGATCAATACTTGCCTAGTTTAGTTTAATGTGTGAAACTATTGTTACAGACATCTTAATTCAAGAAAGAAAATTGACAAAATCGTCAGTAGAATGTGTTTTTTTTCATCTCCCGTCAATCTATTCCGTTACTAACCCAGTAGAAAAAGATAATTTATTCAACATGGTCACGTGTCACAAGAAAATTCTCTCGACTGGTATGCCCGGGGTCGTATTTTAAAGTTAGTAAATGTGTGAGCTGGTGAAACTAATCACATTTCATATAACCGGTCATTACATATATGATGTAATTAGTTATAACTGTTTAGTACCGCAAATTGCGGCAGATATCAAAACCAAATTCTATATGTTTGATACGATCCCGGAGCCCGTGCGTTCCTGATCCGATATTGTCACGTACTATCACGTTGTACAAAAAAACCCGGATGTAAGAATTCCGTGTAAGGCATGCTGCTTTAAAGCTTACTCAGGATTATTTTATTCAGGAAGTAGATATATAATGAATCTGGAAAGTGACAAATAGTTAAAGAATTACTTCTTTACAACATAATTTACCCAAATACCTACACTTATCCAAAGCTTGCACATTTCTTCTTTGGTTCACTTGGTTTGTTTCAATAAAGCTTCTTATAGCAGTCTTTCATCGAAGAAAATCTTATGATTACAGACCTGGATTAAGCTTCATTCCCCGAATTTTAAAATGAGTTTTGTCATTTATAACTTTAATGATTAAAGGAAAATTCTATACTTTCAAGAACAAATAATAACTTAATTATAACGATAATTGTGAGTTATGCATTCATTATGCGAAATTAAAAAAATATCCGTCGAAAGGAAGGCCTATGCAAAAAAGTAGAAACAGCTCAACACTAAATTATAATAACACATTTAGCTTATCTGAGCTTATTGAACTCCTAAAGTCATGTTTTTAATTGCCATTAAATTAAAATAAGTGTCAGTCTCAGTGCAAACATGTCAAAATATAACTGTTTTCTTAGCCATATTTTGATTATTTTTTCTGTTACCTTCTTGAGACATGCTGCTTTAAAGCAAAACTAATTCAGGATGATTTTCACAGAAAGTTTTCCTCATATGCCCAGTATTCCCTATTCGTCGACTATTCCTCATTTGATTAGTACTCCTCATACGTCAAGTAATTCTCATACGTCAAGAAGTCCTCATAAGTCAAGTAGTCCTCATTTTTCATGTAGTCCTCATTTTTCATGAAGTCCTCATACGTCAAATAGTCCTCATACGTCAAGTTGTCCTCATTTTTCATGAAGTCCTCATACGTCAAGTAGTCCTCATACGTCAAGTAGTCCTCACACGTCAAGTAATTCTCATTTTCATGTAGTTCTCATTTTTCATGTAGTCCTCATACGTCAAATAGTCCTCATACGCCAAGTAGTTCTCATTTTTCATGTAGTCCTCATATGTCAAGTAGTTCTCATACGTCAAGTAGTGTTCATACGTCAAGTAGTCCTCATACGTCAAGTAGTCCTCATACGTCAAGTAGTCCTCATACGTCAAGTAGTCCTAATACTTCAAGTAGTACTCATACGTCAAGAAGTCCTCATTTTTCATGTAGTCCTCATACATCAAGTAGTCCTCATACGTCAAGTAGTCCTCATTTTTCATGTAGTCCTCATTTTTCATGTAGTCCTCATACGTCAAGTAGTCCTCATTTTTAATGTAGTCCTCATACGTCAAGTAGTCCTCATACGTTAAGTAGACCTCATACGTCAAGTAGTCCTCATACGTCAAGTAGTCCTCATACGTCAAGTAGTCCTCATACTTCAAGAAGTCCTCATACTTCAAGAAGTCCTCATACTTCAAGTAGTACTCATATGTCAAGTAGTCCTCATACGTCTAGTAGTCCTCATACTTCAAGAAGTCCTCATACGTCAAGTAGTCCTCATACGTAAAGTAGTCCTGATACGTTAAGTAGTCCTCATACGTCAAGTCGTCCTCATACGTCAAGTAGTCCTCATTTTTCATGTAGTCCTCATACGTCAAGTAGTCCTCATACGTCAAGTAGTCCTCATACGTCAAGAAGTCCTCATTTTTCATGTAGTTATCATTTTTCATGTAGTCCTCATACGTCAAGTAGTCCTCATACGTCATGTAGTCCTCATTCTTCATGTAGTCCTCATTTTTCTTGTAGTCCTCATACGTATAATAGTACTCATACGTCGAATAGTCCTCATTTTTCATGTACTCCTCATACATCAAGTATTCCTCATTCGTCAAGTAGTCCTCATACGTCAAGTAGTCCGCATACGTTAAGTAGACCTCATACGTGAAGTAGTCCTCATACGTCAAGTAGTCCTCATACGTCAAGTAGTCCTCATACTTCAAGAAGTCCTCATACTTCAAGTAGTACTCATATGTCAAGTAGTCCTCATACGTCAAGTAGTCCTCATACTTCAAGAAGTCCTCATACGTCAAGTAGTCCTCATACGTAAAGTAGTCCTGATACGTTAAGTAGTCCTCATACGTCAAGTCGTCCTCATACGTCAAGTAGTCCTCATTTTTCATGTAGTCCTCATACGTCAAGTAGTCCTCATACGTCAAGTAGTCCTCATACGTCAAGAAGTCCTCATTTTTCATGTAGTTCTTTTTTTTCATGTAGCCCTCATACGTCAAGTAGTCCTCATACGTCATGTAGTCCTCATTTTTCATGTAGTCCTCATTTTTCTTGTAGTCCTCATACGTCAAATAGTACTCATACGTCGAATAGTCCTCATTTTTCATGTACTCCTCATACATCAAGTATTCCTCATTCGTCAAGTAGTCCTCATTTATCATATAGTCCTCATTTTTCATGTAGCCCTCACACGTCAAGTAGTCCTCATACGTCAAGGAGTCCTCATACTTCAAGTAGTCCTAATACGTCAAGTAGTCCTCATACGTCAAGTAGTCCTCATACTTCAAGAAGTCCTCATACTTCAAGTAGTACTCATATGTCAAGTAGTCCTCATACGTCAAGTAGTCCTCATACGTCAAGTAATCTTCATACGTCAAATAGTCCTCATTTTTCAAGTAGTCCTCATATGTCATGTAGTCCTCATACGTCAAGTAGTCCTCATACGTCAAGTAGTCCTCATACGTCAAGTAGTCCTCATTTTTCATGTAGTCCTCATACGTCAAGTAGTCTTCATACGTCAAGTAGTCCTCATACGTCAAGTAATCTTCATACGTCAAAAAGTCCTCATACGTCAAGTTGTCCTCATTTTTCATGTAGTCCTCACACGTCAAGTAGTCCTCATACTCCAAGTAGTCCTCATACGTCAAGTAGTCCTCATACATCAAGTAGTCCTCATACGTCAGGTAGTCCTCATACGTCAAGTAGTCCTCATTTTTCATGTAGTCCTCATACTTCAAGTAGTCCTCATACGTCAAGTAGTCCTCATACGTCAAGTAGTCCTCATACGTCAAGTAGTCCTCATACGTCAAGTAGTCCTCATACGTCAAGTAGTCCTCATTCGTCAAGTAGTCCTCATACGTCAAGTAACCCTCATACGTCAAGTAACCCTCATACGTCAAGTAGCCCTCATACGTCAAGTAGTCCTCATACGTCAAGTAATCCTCATACTTTAAGTAGTACTCATACGTCAAGTAGTCCTCATACGTCAAGTAGTCCTCAAACGTCAAGTAGTCCTCATTTTTCATGTAGTCCTCATACGTCAAGTAGTCCTCATACGTCAAGTAGTCCTCATACGTCAAGTAGTCCTCATACGTCAATTAGTCTTCATACGTCAATAAGCCATCATAAGTCAAGAAGTCCTCATTTTTCATGTAGTCCTCATATGTTTTGGCCTCAAACGTCAAGTAGCCCTCATACGTCAGAACTCTCATACGTTAAATAGTCCTCATACGTCAAGTGGACCTCATACGTTAATTCGACCTCATACGTCAAGTAGTCCTCATACGTCAATTATACTCATACGTCAAGTAGTCCTCATTTTTCAAGTAGTCATACGTTTTGCCCTCAAACGTCAAGTAGCGCTCATACGTCAGAACTCTCATAAGTTAAGTAGTCCTCACACGTCAAGCATTCCTCATACTTCAATTAAGTGGACCTCATACGTTCAGTTAACCTCATACGTTAAGTATACCTCATACGCCCAGTATTCCCCTTCTTCATAGGCCCAGTATTCCTCATACGCTAATTAGCCCTCATTTGTTGATCATTCGTATTTTGAAAAAGGGCTCCTGGGATATGGATCTTTTAATCTATACGTTATATAAAATAAACTTTCATGAAAAAAATGTAAATTCTTCAATTGTTTGAATATGGTGTTATTTTTTCTCCTAATGATCTTGTTATCATTACATTTAAAATTGTAATCAGTCATTTACTGCGATATCTTTACTCGATTGTAAATCGACCGGTTCAAGTGTCTGTAGGACACCCTCAAATTATAGCTGATTAAGTTTTATATTACATTGCGAAACATTTTGTGATCTTCGTATGACTAAAAGTCATTTGTGTATGTTTGGTATTTATCGTCAGCTATATATAGAGATTATATATCTACATGTATGTAAAGCAATTTCTGTTTCGTACGGGATTAACACGGACATACGCATAATTTGGAAATAGATCTACCTAATCGGACATTAATAAAATTTCAGTCATGAAGTGTTTTCTATCAATAAGTGTGATTTTATTGTTAAGTCTAGATCGTGCCGGTGCTATATTATACTGTGAGTACTAAGGTTATTTATTTACATGTATGTTTTTTTTAAACTTTATTTATTCTTTACGAAGAGCTGTATATTCCATTAAAGTGACATTATGCTTATTCAAGCGTATAATACGTATAGTAGGTGAACAGGTGACCGTCACAATAAGTTTACTTTTTAGCCATAATTCTTTTTAACCCCATAACTTACTTCGCGTGACCGATAGGAACCTTGTGTGACCCAAGGGAATTTCTGTAAATATCCATCATTTCCGCTGATTAAAAGATATTCAGGAATAAGGAGAATGTCTTGTTTGGGGCATTTGTAAATTACTGATTAGTTATCCAGATCAGCCAGTTTGGCGGATCGGACGCAGAGGTACTGTGCGTTTAGGATAACTATTTAGTGACATAACTATTTAGTGACTCGGTGGTCAAGTCCACTATAACGGTGTAAAACAGTTATCATATTGTGCTTAATATTTTAAGACAAGCAGGCTTGCCATATAAATTAAAATACCGACAAATTTACAAACTGTCGGCGTAACGCAGTAGGTAAAGTTGTCTGGTAAATAGTTACATATCAAATCAAGACAGCCGGGTTCGGTCCCCAAAAAAATCTGTATAATTATCAATCGAGTTAGAGAATGTTTTCTTTTTCTTGTAAAGATTATTAGTGCTGTGTTATTTCCTATTAACTTCTCATTTCACTTTTGTCTTTAAATGTTGCTATATTTAGCAAGTTGATGCAACCTGATACGGAATGCATACATGTACATAAATTATCTCAATTATAGTTAAGTTGGCACGAAAAACTTGTGCACTGCAAAAGTACTATGACTACTATATATTACACACTGCACAGGATAAAAATTATTATTTCTGGTATATCTAAATTATTCGATATCATAACAAAACAGCCTTTATATTCCAATTCATTTGCATCTAATGTAAAACTTAAAAAAAAAAAATAGGGAAAGAAAAAAAAGGGCAGATAACCTGTGAGGCTCGAACTCATGATAAAATTCATTTTGTATGGCATCCTATTAACTTAACCCTTAACCAACTTTTGCCATGGAGACTTTTCAAATTCTAGTTCTTATCTTGAATCATATTCACATCTAAATACCCTGTTTTACCTATTCATACAAAGGTTGTAAACTTTTGTGTACACAAAAAATGCAACGTCACCCTCACATTATCTTAGCGGCACAGTATGACCAAAAATATGCGTGAAAATCAACGATAAAAAATCCCAAACAAAACAAAACTTCCGTATTTACACAAACCTTTCAATACACTTTTCAACTTTATGCAAGCGCAAGAATTTCTTTCAGACGACACAATATATTATTCAGCATTCTTGTTTCTGTTTGTTTATAGAGGCGGAAATATATAGATGAAGTTGGAAAGTTTTTAATGAATATGTATCAAGTGTTAATCTTTACACTGTTAATTATTGTGGTCATAGCACAACTAAATGCCCGTTATGCTTTAGAATTGCTTATATTTCTATTTACCAAAGCCTTTTATGGTATCCTGCTATAGTTTCTAAAAAGTTACAAATTGTCCAATTACCTAAACCATCTTATGCTTCTGTTGCTTTTTAGCAATTAGTTAAGTTACTTTGATTTAGTTTTTGTATGAAAGTCAAAATACTACTGTGTTAACATTTTGTTACATATTTATTCAGCACCTCTTTCTTTAGGTGAAATCATATGAAACATGCTTAAACATTATAAAATCCCATGTCTGCCATTTCAAAAATAAGAAAAACTTTATTTCTTTATGAGGCCTTTAAGACATTTTGTCAACTTTAAAGCGGCCTTCAGCTTTTATTTTTTGTTGGAAAAATAATTCCGTGTTGTTTCAAACTAAGTATTTCAGTAATTTTATCTTAGAAAAATGCATCATATCACTGTTCTTCTTCTGTATCTTCTTCAAAACAGCGTCCCAAGAGCGGTGACGTTCGTTTCTAAAAATAGAAGATCAGTAGGCAAGCTCCATTTTCCATCTTTCCTTTGATTCAACAATAATATGAATCGATTAATTATAAAAAAAAAAACATAGTTAACCTTTAGAAAAGCTGAAATCAGCTTTAAGGAAACATATCAAGAATATTTTTAATATATTTTAGTATTAGAATACGAACTTAAGGTGTTTTTTTTTAATTTCAGACTACATGGACGACAATTGTAATGGCGTTGTGGACATCTCTTTCATAGATCAAATACGACTGCAGCTAACACGACACAGTTCATACAGGGCAAATATGAACTGTAAACTACTTATTACTGCCAACACAACGGATCGTTTGATGCTTTACTTTAAGGTTGGGTGATTATTTTATGTTAGGTCTATAATAAATGTCAACGGTTTATTAAGACATTCAAGACAGACAAAACTTGCTCGAGATATTAGATTTCCGGATTTATAAAATATAATCATGGATTTAGAAACTATATGCCACCTCAGGATAAATTCCTAAATTTGTTAAAATATATGCCATATACAATGTATTTAAGATAGAAATAAAATCGACCCTATGGATCACATTTCGATTTTTAGCATGTGATTTAGTTTATACAAATTTATTAAAGTTCGATTGTGTTGGAAGCTATAAGCTTATTGAAACACTTTCGAACCAGTTCATTTAACCAACCAGTACTTAAAAATATTACAATGAATGTAAAGTTAATTGCTCAAGGGGACAACGGCTTGCCCTTGACAGAGTTTGAACCCAAGTGTTCAGCAAACTAGTCCGACGCGTTAACCACTCTGCCAGCATGTGGTTTAAAGATCTTAATGTGTTCACAATACCTTTGATACTTGGATAATATTTAAATGGAGTACAGATAATATACATACATGTATATCTCCCTTTTAAAATCTTAGATTATCTAAATAGAGGGACTTTATTGTTATCTACATTGATTTTCGTATGTAGGACTTTGATGTCGAAACAAGTGCTTCATGTAACCTTGATTATTTTTAAGTTCATGAGGGCAACGTTTTAAAACTCCCCGGGTTTGTACCAGGAAAAATTATTTTTCCCCTTTTTTTTATTTACGAAAATTTTTTACTCCCCTTTTAGTTTCAATTTTCACTGGAAAAAAAAAAACCCACACTTTCCTCAATCTGACTAGCATCAGCTCCTAATTAAAGCTACGCATTAGGATCTGGCGGACACCAATAGGATGTCACCTTCTCGTGACGCTTTAAACAGCCAATCATCGGCGAGCTTTCACAATTTTGAAAGCGATGCGGGTTCTAATTTTAATCGCTTGAAAACCAATGCTGAGTAGATAATTTTCACTATTTATCAAAATGAACGTGGGCCAAATACGATGGCAATCAGAACTACACGCAAGAAATACCTGAAGTAGATCTGAATTTAGTGAGATTATCTTTCCTCTATGTCAGATGAAAAACTATGCTTGCATATCAGCTAAATTATCTCCCCTTACTCTATTTGTTTTCCTTTTTGTGTCAGGCAAAATTTTCCTCCATATCAGATAAATAAACTATGCCTGTAAATCAGATAGTAACTATCTTTATATATCAGGTAAATTAACTTACATATTCACTACATGTCAAGTTAACAATAATTAAATAACAGGATTTTCCTGTTAAATATTACCCCAGTTATTCACTTGAAAATTACGGGAGTTTTATTTTGAACAATATGCATGTAGTAGTTTTGCTCTTGAATATCATCGAACATTTCCTCTTGAATTTAACAGCTGGGAGTTTTTATCATGAATATTACCGGCGTTTTAAACAAAGTATTATTGGAGTTAAGGTTGAATATTACCGGCAATTTCTTTTGATCATCGAAGGATTTTTTTCTTTTGAATATTACAGGACTTTCAAAGAGGCAATGTGGAAGTTACATGAGTAGCACTGTGAGAAAAACAAGTGGCAATAATCTTTTCCTCTACTTTAAAAGTGACAGCTCTTGGCAGGAGAGAGGGTTTGATATGATCATCACTCAGTATCACACCGGTAAGTTCTTTACCATTGTCATTTGGATTGAGATAGATGGCTTTTATGATTTAAGATCTATATTCATGCATGTTTATTTTGATACTATATTTTAGAATGTGTATCTTTGCCCCGGTTTAGTGATATTTAAGATGTTGTTTTTCCCCTTGAAATAATCAGGCAGTTCAGCCCTTTCCACGATATATATCTTTGAACATACTCTAACAGTTTTCAATCTGAAGAGACAATTCAATTTTTCACTTTTTTGTTGGGGGAGGGGGGATGTACTTACTGAATACGGAACAGTGCTGACCATGATTTTGGTCCTGCACTAGTCGCAAAAGTAGATTCAGTTTCCAACAGTAGGCTAAGTTTTAAAAAAAGCAGGCAAGGTAACTTTGCAACAGGCACGATTTGTTTCAATTATCTTGACAATGATATAATAATATTTCTAATATCATGACAATTTTATACTTATTAAAGCGTCGTGGTATTGATTGGTCCAAACCAACAGAAAGCATGGAGAAAACAACAAGAACAAAAACAAAAAAATGGGGAAAAATAAACGAGATCGGTCAGCAAATATATACTTACATACCTCATAAAATACATAATTGAGCCGTGCCATGACAAAACCAACATAATGGGTTTGCGACCAGCATGGAACCAGACCAGCCTGCGCATCCGCGCAGTCTGATCAGGATCCATGCTGCTCGCTATCAGTTTCTCTACTTGTAATAGGGTTTGTAAGCGAACAGTATGGATCCTGATCAGACTGCGCGGATGCGCCGGCTGGTCTGGATACATGCTGGTCGCAAAACTATTATGTTGGTTTTGTCGTGACGCGACTTATTTATTCACACGAACCAAAACCAACTAAAACCAACTTTCGATTTCAAAGACATTACACAAAATACGCCTAGTGTGAGGTTGTTTACAAATTAACCTTTTTTGTTTGAAATATTCTTTTTTATTATTTCTGTTTTTGTTGCAGGTATGTGTCACGAGGATGAGTTCTCGTGCAGTAATGGACGCTGCGTCTCCTCTGATTTGGTGTGTAACGGGTACAATCCATGCGGGGACTATTCCGACTGTGCCAGCGAGCTTGCCGCCGGAGTTATTGCCGGCATTGTCGTCGGGTCCTTCGTCTTTGTCATCTGTGTAATGTGTTTGATATTGTGTCGTGTTCGAGTTGTCCGCCGACGACGACGCCAATATGTGAGTAGATTTTGTAAAATGACAAATATTTATGTTTATACATGTATAAAGTATAATGAAACTTTGACTGCATTTTAAGTATGTATAATCTCATATTAAGCGTTATAAATTACTACATTTCATTATTTAAGAATTCAAAATTTTGTTTTTACATTAATTAATCTAAACAGTCAAGAAGACTATGTTTACTGATTAAAAATTTAGCAACATCTTTAGTAACTTGTATTAAAAGTCAAAAATTCATATTGTCTGTTTGTTCTCTAATAATACATTACGTATTGAAATTATTAACTACATGGTAATATGTCTTGAAAAAAGGATAGCTTTTGTTGACAGATGGTTTTTTTACTAAAAAAAACAAACAAAAAAACAAAACGTTGTAATACTGTAGACTATGCCTTGAAGGTTAATCAATGTTTAGCCTTTCTAGACAGAAGTTTTTATGCCTTGTCTTTAATTTTTTTAAACCTTGCTTGATTACATTTGTCAACAGTATAGAACCTCACCAGATGTACATGCACTCTAACAATACTCTATTTTATGTTTTTTTATATTGAAATAAATTTGTTTTCAAATGGACGGTTATAAAATGAATTCAAGATAAATCCGTTACACAAAGTAAACAGGTAAAATACTTGCCAGATCAACCAGTCTATGTAAAGTCTACTGACACGTGTTTTTGTGAATGATATCAAAATTGTAATCACTATAATTTTACAATTACAGGACGGGCTACATCAACCAGTTAACGTTGTAGCAACGACAGCTTATGGATCGGACTACAACCAGCCGGTACCCCAGCAATACCCATCCATGCCATATCCAACCGGGCAGCAGTACCCTAACTCACAATACCCAAATCAAACGTATCCAAATTAAACATTAAAGTGTCACTTCTGAAAGACAAATGACAGATTTTGTTGGTATTGTATAAAGGATTTTTTGTCATGGAATAAAATTGTGTAAATTTGGCGCATATATCGACATTAAACATTCAGCAGAACATTTAAACTATACCGAATGTCGAGATGACAGGACCAGCACATAATAGACTACATGTAAATCTAGTTTAAGAAAGCATTATATTTAAGACCTAAATTCTTAAAACATTTTGTTACTTACTGATAAACTGAAAAATTACATGTCTGTAACATAATAATTATTTTCTGATGTATGATGTGAGTTTTGTGTATATATAGATATTATTGCTTGTCGAAACTGTGGGATTATATTGAATTGTGCAATAATTACTAAACATTCTTGTATAAAAACTGAAAAAAGCGTTAAAGGAAAATCACCACGAGCACATGCGTCGTTATTGTACCTACTTTATCATGCGTTAATTAGGACGCCATTTAAAAATAGCTGACTATGTACAAGGACGGCCAAATTTTATTATTGTACCATAAATTGATAGTTTATACGAATTTATTTTATGTTGGAAGCTATTTAGGCTTGTTGAAACTCTTCCGTTCCTGAAATCAACCAGTACTTAGCAGTGAATGTAAAGTAAGTTCTAACTCAAGGAAATAACGGCTTGTCGAAACCACAAGGCCAGCATTCCATAGAATACTAGTCTGACATGTTTACCATTCCGCCACGCCGCCACTTGACTAATTGTCAAAGGACATTACACTTAGACGTAAAACACATAACGAACCTGATTTTGTACACGAAAAACTAATAACAAAACACAGAAATGCCGAATCAGACGTATCAAAAATAGCCCCAATACACCTTTTTTCGTGCATTACCAATTGCAGTTCTAAATCCCACGTCCTGTTTAAAATGTATTATTTTGCTTCTACAGTTGTTACTGCATCAACCCTTTATTGTGCCTCCTAGCGAATCGCTTGATATTGACTTATGTTTTGTATTTTCATGAAAAGAGTGCCTTCCACTGTGACATCATTACTGTGACGTCAATATTTGATATAAATACCAATATGGCGGCCTGCAAACATGCTCACCACGGTTCACAATATGTAAAATAATCTTAAAACTATTCACAAGGGGATTCGGATACCTTCAATTCTTGTACAGTGTATTGTCTTTTAATGATACAATGACCATTGAGATAAATCTAAAAAAGAAATAAAAAAAAATTCAAATCCTCAAGAGTAATGCCTTTAAAAAACACTAGTCTTTTTCTTTTCAAAATGACCCCAAAACTGTTTTGGTTTACGAAATCTTAAGCGGTCAATTTCAAAATACATGTATTTTTTGTATAAAAGTTTTCTTTTTCTTTCGGATTTAATGTTTATATTCTTTCTTACATTGACACAAATATTCCCTACTTGCTGGAGTTTTACATTATATAAATTAAGGCATTTACATATATATGCATTGCATTTCTGCATTCGGCGTCAAACCAATCATCACCCTTTAAAGACTGACTGTCTGAAAATTAAACATGATTTTTATTTGTATATGTTCTTGAAAAAAGAGGAGCTGCAACTTCCCTAATTAAACAAGTGAAAATACTTATGCTGTCAAAAATCGTGTTTAACACCCACTTGGCTATTACAGTCACCTGTTACTGACGCAAGGGATATAAAATGATAAATATCGTTTTCAATACAATCAAAAAGATCTATATCAAGGTCACACTGAAAAGAGATGATCTGTTATACGGTATATTTAGTGTGCGGTATATAACATTTTCATCATTCAAGATATTTCAAAATACCTTGGCACTAATGTTTATCTAATAAGACGACAAGTCATGCACAACGCCTAGACCCCTACCTCAAAGGTCAAGGTCACACTTGGAAGTCAAAGCCTAAACACGGGGGAGAATCACGCCGTTCGTTACCCAAACAAACAAGATGGCGGATGCAGCCAAAAAGTAGGTTTTTCCCTTTTTTCTCGGACATTCGTGATATTCTGATGTTAAAGTACATATAACAACCTTCTCCACACTTTTTATGGAACACAGGATTTTATTTCATGATGTTTCGTCCCGTACTTCATCTGAAATGCGCGTCACCAGATTCGAAGCGAGAGAGTTTTCCACCGGTTTGATCGTGGTAACGTACGGCTTTTTCTCTAAAATTCACTGTTTCGTTTACATAATTATATGTATATAAACTGAAATCACTGACTTTAAAAAGTTGTAATATGTCGTCATCTAAACATTCATGCCCATTCTGGCTAGAATTACCGCTGAAAATATTAATATCTTGGCATTTTCCGGAAATGATAACATATGGCGCACAAAATATCAATGATAACGTACGGCGCATTTTTTTCTGATTAACTGATTTTCTTTATAATAGAAAAGTTATGTTTACAAGACATAAGAGAATGTGTAGAACCAAATTAAGAAACTGAAATAAATAATATTAGTGTCCAGCTTTATTTGTCATGCAATGAAAGCGTTGTAATTCTTAAAAATTCTTTGTGTAAATTTTCATAGAAGAACAAAAATCGATGATATATCAAAGTCCGTTCATAGCAGCCTTCTATTTTTCATAGTGTTTCATATAACCGCGTTTGTGCAAATGGACAGGTATAGTGACGAAATAAAGTTAATATTAATGAAGCCAAATAAAGCTTGACACTAAGTATGTTTGTATTCATCCGTAGCTGTTCTACAGAAATAAGAAATATTCTCCGGTCGCTATCGCTCCCGTCGAAGTTTCTTATTTCTGTAGAACAACACGGATGAACACTTACATATACTTCGTAAACACTAGTTTAAGAGTAGCGTAATCATTTTTAAAACCGTTCTTTCATAAAGATAATGACGTCATCTAAGCTCATGAGCGGTCTGGCATTAAAGGTTTCAGACGGGTTTTCGGCATGGATAAAAACATCGAAATCCAAATCCGATTTGAAACTTTATAATTAACACTAGAAATTAATAAGCAAATTCCAATGTCACTCTTTTATTGCTGATACCTGCAATACTTTTTTTACAGAAATTATTGTTTTTGTTGGGGCGTTTGTGGAAAAAAAACGCCAGAATATGATAGGCAAATTCTTGCATGTAATTGTTTTGATCAAATTATGACGTTCCTTTCATTTACAATTATGAAATCCGCAATTGATGCGAAGGGACCTTCATTTTTTAGGATATGTGTATAAACATATGGTAATTGCGTTTATGTGTTAAAAATCGATTAATATACAACAATTTTGCATTAATGGTTCATGTAATGTATGTTTTTTGTATGTATGTACATGTATATGTGTGTATGTATATGTATATACAAGAGACCTATAAGTTACTGGTTTAAAGATCAATTTTGAAAATGTTCATTATGTAACTCCTTAAGAAAATTTCGGCTGGTATTTACTTTATCAATCAAAATTGATCTTCTCCAAACTTTTTCATGATTTTTGATATTATGTTTATATGAACAGTTCGTTATTGTGCATTTTTTATGTCCTCATCGGCTTTAAAGCCTATTAGAATAAAATAAAATGTCTACTGTCTACTATAATAAACAAGAAAAATAATACATAAGTCGTGGTGGTGCTTGGGATAATCACTTGATACTGTAAATGGCAGCCATTTTACGATACGAAAATGCCTGGCCCTCCTCGGACAGTTTATCCTGCCGAAAAGATGTGAAAAAATACTTGCAATTCAAAGTTTGTTTGCTACATAAAGATTATCGATTTACTCTTTGCAAACTTTTTCTCTGCCTGATTGTAATAACATTGATGTGTTTTCAATGGCTTAAACCATCACGTTATCAATACACATAAAGGTGTGAACTAATTTCGTGTTCATTAAAATTATTCCGTTATTAGACATATAACAATCTTATTTACAAATGAATTGACAACTCACCCCCTAAACAAAACATAATAGACTCAACCAAAACAAGCGTCTGCTTCTTTACCTTACTATGTAGTTGCATGGCCATGATTATCAATAGCAAACCAAATGTAAGAGCTAATAATACTATGACCACAGCAGATTTCGTACAAACAAACTGTAAGGCTATGTCGCGTAAATATATCTGACGTCATAGTGGAACAACGTCACGCTAAATGGTATCGTTTCAATATTAACCGCCCGACAAATAAACAGAACATTTCTTATTTACTAAATTCTTTTAAGTTTTTCGCATAATATTATTTTCTTAGTCATTCAATAAATTCATTATAGAACCTACACTCATTCATTATTCTCTGTTATGTATTTTTCTTTCAATGAGCGACCAGATTGAATAAACACAGGCTCATCTCATCTGGGTGTAAGCTAGTCACAATCACTTTTCGTTTTGTAAATGTTTGACGTGGTTCAAACATTAAGATTTCCTTATCAAAAATTTGTTAGGAATGATTTTAGACATTTTTTCAGATATCTATCATTTCCTACATAAAAATAATTCATTATCAGCTGATAAATGGAAATCCACCAAGTAGTAAATTGCGCCGTACGTTATCATTGATATTTTGTGCGCCATACGTTATCATTTCCGGAAAATGCCCCGATATTAATATTTACAGCAGTAAATCTAGCCAGAATGGACATGTATGCTTAGATGACGACATATTACAACTTTTTAATGTCAGTGGTTTCAGTTAATATACATATATGTAAAAGAAACAGTGAATTTTAGAGAAAAAGCCGTACGTTACCACGATCAAACCGGTGGAAAATTCTCTCGCTTCGAATCTGGTGACGCGCATTTCAGATGAAGTACGGGACGAAACATCATGAAATAAAATCCTGTGTGCCAGGAAAAGTGTGGAGAAGGTTGTTATATGTACCTTTACATCAGAACATCACGAATTTCCGAGAGAAAAAAAAGGGAAAAACCAACTTTTTGGCCGCATCCGCCATCTTGTTTGTTTGGGTAACGAACGGCGTGATTCTCCTCCTTGCTAAAGTAGTCAGTTACAGGGTATGATGCCAAGTCAGGCCCATACAAACAAAATGTCATTGGGGAATTGTCCACATACTTTGATTGATGAATGGATACAAAATATACCCTGTAACTGACCATAACCTGTATTGATATTGTGTTTGTCACCTTGTGTGGCTTTGAAATAGTGGTTATAAGTATACTCGTACACATGCATTTCTGTTGACACATACATAGGAGGTATTTCGCTATATTTCTTTAATGAATTTATTGTCACTGGCATGTATATATCTAGCATTGAAAATCCAGATCCACTGCGGATGATCACGTGACCAAAATCGTACAATGGGCTCATAAAATGGCGGCTTAAACGCTCGGTAAAAGAAATAAAATTGAGGTAAGTATACAGCTTACGTTAAATTTATATGTAAAACTAGGCCGCACGAAACCCTTGAATAAAAACCGCGCCCTGTTCTGTTATTGGTTACTTTGTAGCTCTCTCTGTTTAGGCTTGAAAGTCGAAAAAGTTGTTTTGGCTTATGAGTACAATAGGCGAACAGGTACTAAAATGCGTTGTTTTCAGTAGAAGAAACGCATTTTGAGCAAAATAAGCGATTGACATC